TCAGTGTGTGTGCCATCGCCACTCTCTCCTTCCTGAATAATTTTATCCTCCCAAGGAAACCCTGTACTCATTAAGCAGCTGCTCCCCACTCTTCCCATCCCCACTTCCTAGAATTTGCTAATTCTGTTACCTTTGTTTTACCCTCATGGGCATTTCTTTTTGTAAAATATTTCATTTATTTTTATTTTATGTGTATTGCCTGCATGTATGCGAGTGCGCCCATGTCGTGCAATGCTGTGGAGGTCAGAAGAGGGCTTTGGATTCCCCTCTTCAGAGTTAAGGACGGTTTGTAGCCGCCATGTGGGTGCTAGGAATTGAACCCGGGTCCTCTGCAAGAGCAGTCAGTGCTTCATCTCTCCAGCCCCAGATATTTCTTATAAATAGGATCTTTTTCAGTTTGGCCTCTTCCACTTAGCTTAATGCTTCCAATCCATCCACATGGTGGTACTTTATTCCTTTTATATGGCTGAATAATGTTCCACAGAATGAATGTACTATTGTGTTTATCCCTTCACCAATTCCTGGACGGTGGGTACTTTCCATCTTTGGCTTCTTTTTAAAAAATATTTTATTTATTATTTTAATTTTATGTGTATGAGTGTATTGCCTGCATGTAGGTAAGTGCACCCATGTCGTACAATGCCCATGGAGGGCAGAAGAGGCTGTCGGATCCCTTGGGACTGGAGTTACAAACAGTTGTTAGTTGCCACATGGGTGCTGGGATTCAAACCCAGGCCTTCTTCAAGAACAACCAATGTTCTAAACCACTGAGCCATCTCTCCAGGCCCCATCTTCAGCTTCTTAAATAGTGCTGCTGTGACTATTCACTTCCTTTGCTTACATACCTAAGAGTACATTGCCAGTTCATATGGAAATCCTATATTCTTACTGAGAGACTGCCAGATCTTTTGCTCCAGTGGCTGCCCCACTTCACATTCCCAGCACCACCATATGAGGGGTCTAACCTCTCCTCATCCTTGCCTCTAATACCAACTTTTGAATTTCAGGATGAGTTTTATTATGACAGCGAGAGGAAAAATTCTGAATTATTTAGGCTTCATTTATTTAATGAGATCCTATTAAAGCAAGAACTGGAAACTGGTGGGTATTTTTTGCTTAAAATATATCCTAGCTTTTCAGATTTGTGAAAAGCAAAGGTTGTTTAACACAAGGGGATAAATTTGATCATTAGTTCATATCTATGGACCATATAAATGACAAGGTCATAAAATCCATGGAGCCTCTTGTGGCAGGACTCTGCCCCATGATATGATTCATCTGGCATATTTTTTTCTATAAAAATAACACAGTGGCCCATCTCAGTGACATCTGGACTCATCTGCATAAAATGAGTGTTTGGGGTCATATTATTATTATTTCATGTTCCATTCTTCATCAGACCCATAAAGGCAGAGAAGCAGTGTGGAGAATATGCTGTGATCTCTCCTCCAAACACATTAAGAAATTTTATGCATACCTTCCATTTTTGCTAATGACACAGAACGTTGACTTGTCATTTTTTTCCCTTCTGCCAAGCCATGAATGTGCCGTCCTTATCAGAAGCGTAAATAGGTGTGCGTTAATATAAGGAGACACAGGTGAACACTTCAGATCAATAAGACAACTCCAGAAGTGTGTGTGCAGATTTGTAGACCAAAATAACGCAAAGAATTGAGCATAATTGCACATTCAGAACAACCAACCAAGTAAGCTGGTTTTGATGACTTGGTTTCCTAAACTCAGGTGGGGAAGAGCATGTGTGTTTGACTCTCCAGTCTGTAATCCATCATGCTTTTTGAGAGCAGCATTATTTAGTTGAGAATTTTATGGGGGAATGGAGTAAAACGTGCACATGCCCCTGATTATAGAATGGTGGGGGTGGAGACAGTGTGGAGTGGAGTAGGCTCTCTCTCTTGTGCCTTCATTCATTCTGATATGCAGTGTTTAACACTAGGGGCATGGTGATGCATTGAGAAAATGCTGTTGCCCCATGGAATTTACAGTTTCCAGTACGTTCCATGAGTTATCACAGTTGCATTTTGTAGTTATCTATTGCTTTGTAAGAAGGTACCCCTAAACTGAGTTATGCACATCAATAGGAAGGTATGCTCTCAGTCTGTGGGCAGAGGATTGGGGTGTTGGACAGACTCACAGCTCAACTCTGTGGCACTAGGCTTCCTCTGGCGTGACCTGGATGAGGCAGGTGAGTGAGGTGTTGGTCCTGTGATACGGCTGAACTTCTCACGTCTTCTGTGCATTGCATTTTCTGGAATTTCAATATTCTACATAGTTTAAGATTTATTTAATCACGTTTGTATGCGTGTGCATGTGTACATGTGAGTGCAGTGTCCACGGAGGCCAGAAGAGGGCACCAGAGTCCCCGGAGCTGGAGGAAAAGTTGGTTGTGAGCCAACAGACTAGACATGAGTGCCGGGAACTGAACTTGGGTCCTCTACAAGAGCAGAACATGCTCTTAATCCCTCAGCCACTTCTCCATCTGGAAATCCCACCAGATAGATTTCCACCCATCTGGCCCCTGGGATGGATGGAAGCTGACTGAGCACCTTTCTTTCTCTGTGCAGCCTGTGCAGTGTAGGTTTCCTCGATGTGGCAAGGCCTCCGATTATTCAGATACTGCATTAGTTCCTTTACGCACTGCTGTGCCAAAACACCTGACAAAAGCAGCGTAAGGTGGGGGAAGGGTTTATTCTAGCTCACACTTTGAGGGTGCAGACCATCATATTGGGTGGGAAAGGCATGGCAGCCAGAGCATGAGGCAGCTAACCACAATGCACCCAAAATCAGGAAGCAGAGGGAGATGAATGCTGGTACTCAGCTCACTTGCTCCTTCTTATGCAATCCAGGACCTCAGCCCATGGGATGGTGCCACCCACATTTAGGGCAGGTCTTCTCACCTCAGTTAACCTGGTCTAGAAACACCCTCACAGATAGGGACCTAGATTTGTCTCCTAGGTGGTTCTAGATACTGTCTAGTTGGCAGTCAATGTTAACCATCACAGGTATCTAATGAAGAAGCTTGCTTCACTCACAGCCAACATGCCAAGCCAGAGGCAGAGGCTCCTGGCCTCTTATGAGCCAGGCTTAAAAACCCCAGAGTATCACTTCAACCACTAGGGCCAACTTCCAAGCCAGACTCACAGGGAGGGAACCTACCCCCTACATCTCAGTCGAAGGAGATGGAAAAAATGCTTTTTATATAATATATCCATTTAAGGATTTTTATTACATTTTTTTATTGTGTACATGTAGGGGTGGTGGTGCATGTGACAGATACATGGCAGAAACAGGACTCAACTTGGCTTTCCTATTTTTTCAAGGACCACAGACTCTTGCTGTCTGTTAGTCAATGCCCACAAAACAGTTGTGTGTAAAACTGTTGTTTCTTGGCTATGTGCAGCAAAAGGACATTCTAGTCTTGCCAAACTAAGACCTCCAGGTTCAAAAAAAAAAGATAGAGAGAGACTTAGTATAGTACCTGACATCAACCTCTGGCCTTCACGTGTATGCACATATACATGTATACTCACTTACATACACAAAGCTATACATACACACACATACACACACACACACACACACACACACACACACACACACTGCTTTTACCAAGTTTATGGGAGATAAAGGGACAGAAATCGTAATAAATACATAAAATCTTAAACTCTTATAAAATCTTAAACACCTTATACAGTAAGTGGTATGGAAAGTACAGAGAAATAACAGTCCTCCCAGTCTGCTTGTGGCACTAATTGGCAAACATAGCTGCTGTCCCTTCATAAATTTTAATGGTAGAGGCCATCTGCTTAGAGGTAAAAGAGCCAACTGTATTATAAATGTAAATCTAGTTTAGAACCATTCTCCTCATGCCCTGTTGGTTTCAGTGGTTTATAAATACTGACCTTAAAGTCACATCCATGATGCATTGCTAGCTCCATCCTTTGCTGCTTCCCCAATAGCACTGCATGGTCCATGAAGTGGGTCCCACATCTGACTTGTGAATGTGTCACCAGGAACTCTATATAGAGTTTGGGGGAAGTATTTGGATGGTAGTGACCAGACAGTCTAGCCGTTAAGCTGCTTTTTGAAATCTGTAAGTATGCCAGGTAAAAGAGCCAACTGTATTATCATAAATGTTCTCAGCCCCTGCTCAAATGATCTCTTGTGTGCATACCCTTACTTTTCCCTTTAAAATAGCTTACCAGTTTCTCTCTGAAAATTACCAATTACAGGACTGGAGAGATGCTCAGTTGCAAACATGAGGACCTGGGTTTGATCTCCAGAATCCACATGTCTATTTCAGCTTACATTTCCGGGTTATAATCCATCATTGTGGGGAAGTCAAGACAGAAACTTCAAATAGCTAGTCATATCACATGCACAGTCAGGATCTTGGAGAAATGAAGGCACACATGCTCATTTGCCTACATGTGTTCAACTCAGTCTCTCCATGCTCATACACACTGCCTAGGGAATGGTGTTGCCCACAGTGGGCTGGGTGCATTCATATCAATTAACTTAATTAGGACAATACTCTGCAGACCAAACCTATGTAGACAATACCTCATGGAGACTCTCTTCCCAGGTGATTTGAGGTTGTGTCAAGTTGACAATGAAAGCTCATAATCAGACTACATTAAAAACTTATAATCCCTGCACTAGGGATATGTAGACAGGCATGTCTCTGATGCTCACTGGGAAGCCAGTGTAGTCTACATGGTGAGTTCCAGGCCAGTGAGAGGCCCTATACAATAGAACAATAACAACAATGACAAAAACCAAGATGCATGGTACTGAACCATGACAGCTGAGGTTGTCTTTTGGTCTTCATGTGCACCTGCACATACATGTAAGTACATTGACACATGCTTGTATGCATACACACACACACACACACACACACACACACATGCACACAGAAACCAGTCTGGTTTTCACTTTTCCTTCTTTCTCTTTTCATAGCTGTGCAGTCTCTTCACACCTTAAATGACCAGATTTCTCATTTCATTGTGACCAAGTCAAAGTCACTGGAAGAAGATGGTGACCTCTTTCTCCCCATGGAGAAGGAGACGCTGAAGAGTTCCATGATGCTGATGAGGCACCTCCTAATGGATGCTCAGGTATGAAGATCAGTGGCAAAAGGTCCAGGGGTGTCCAACCTTCTGATATTATGACACAACATTGTCACCTACAAAGTTCCTGTTCAATCAAGTTACCAAAATATTGCAAAAAATATTCTCATAATGTTTCATCTAAGTTCGTGATTTTTGTCTTGGCCATAGGTTTGTCATGCCTTAGAGAGTTGGAAGTATCTTTGGGTTTTCCTTAAAAA